TTTTGCATGGAGAGTCAACCTGGGGAGAGCTGGAGAAGGAAGAGGGCAGCAGCCACTTGTCACCAGTCCTGCTTTTGTGGATGACCAAGGGGACAGGAGATGACTTCTTAGCCTGAGAGAGGAAAAGCCTGAGTCTCACTGATTCAGGCTCCATGCCCAAATGTGGTGCCCCAAACCAGAGGTAGGAGGGACAGCTCCTGTGGGTAGGAGAGGAGAGGACACTGTCACAGAATATTGGAGGCCTGTGGTGGAATGAGATCTCTCTGGGAGAGGCTGTGTACACTGAGAGAATGAGCTGGAGAAGGAAAGAGGAAGTACTATACTGGGAGGCACAGGCTCTCTCATGGGGGCCGGGGAAGTCATGGTTTGGAAGCAGCAGTAGAGACTGAAAGAATATTCCTGGCCCTGAGTTGTATAGGAAACGAGGGGATTAACACCTTCCACTTGAAAGAGCCACAGCTCTGTCCTCAGAGGACAGCCACAGTCTCTATGGAGGGAGGAAGTGAAGACAGCCTCCCAAGGGCGGTGGCCAAGGGCCTGGGCTTGCTAGCCATGGAAATAGGATTCCAGGGCATGTAGAGGGAGGGCAGTGGTGGGAAGCTTGGGGTGGAATGGGGAGAAGATACACAGAGCAGCGTGGAGATGAATGGACAGAAGCAAGAGGGGCTTCAGTAGGGGTGGGAACATGAGATGACAGAGACGAGAGACTTGTTGGTACCATTAGAGCTCTGGAAAAGAGACTTGTCTGTGCTGATGCCATTAGAGAAAAAGAGCCTGAAGCCAAATGACATTTGTCATTTGTGGACAGTCAGTTCTCTGTGACCTTTACTCAGGCTTAGAATAGATTATTAATAACACATTGTTTTCATTCTTTGAGAAAGTGCAGGCATACGCAGGAAGGTTGTGAAGTTTAGAGGTGATAGATGTCATTAGAAAGTAATTTCACCACACCAGGAAACAAAGAAAAATGCAATCAAACAGCAATGTGATTTCCTGTTTCTTCCTGTGTAATAACACAGTGCATACCGTTGAGACTGGGAGAAAAGACAGCTTTTGTGTGTGGCTGGTGAAAGGGTAAATGAGGACAAACTCTCTGGTGTGTCACAAGCGCTGTAATTATCAGAAGCTGTAAATGTTGAATATGTTGTGATTCAACAGTCTCATTTCTGGGAATTTATTTTAAGGAAATAAATATGGAAATCATAAGGACAGAATTGTAAGTTTTAATTATTTTTGAACAGAGTCTCTCTCTATAGCCCCGGTTAGAGTGCAGTGGTATCATCACAGCCCACTACAACCTCAAACTTCTTGGTTGTAGTGATCCTCCTGCCTCAGCTTCCTGAATAGCTGGGGCTACAAGCAGCCACAACAATGCCTGGCTAACTTTTTCAATTTTTAGTAGCGAGGAGGTCTCTACTAAAATGGTCTCTACTAAAACCAATGCTCTTTCTCAGGCTGGTTTTGAACTTTTGACCTCAAGTGATCCTCCCACCTGAGCCTCCCAGAGTGCTAGGATTAGAGGTATGAGCCACCACACCTGCCAAGAATTACAAGTTTGTAGTAACAAAAATATATAGAAATGTACTACAATAGAATGATATTTAAATAAAATGACAATTTTCCCATAATGCTATACAACCATTGAAAATAATGATGATGAAGTGTATTTGATGATATAAATGACATTAACAAAATATTAAGTTTTCTACACTTATGATCCTAGTTTTGTAATCAATATATAAAATACCAAAGAAAATGCACTTAAATGTTAACAATGGTGATCTCAAGTGATACGGTTATAGGTCATTTTCACTTTTTTTCTTTTGTATGATCTATAGCCCCCCCCCGATTTCTAATCTGAGTATATATTACTTTAAGGGAGAAGAAAAAACCTAAGCTGGCTGGCTGGACACAAAAACTCAGGCCAGGTATTCATTGCCTCCAAGAGAAACACCTTACCTTAAAAGATAAAACAAGACTCAGAATGAAGGGATGGAAAATAGTAATCCAGACAAATGGAAATAAGAAAAAAGCAGGAGTTGCAATCTTATTTGCAGATACAATTGGATTTAAGCCAGCAACAATAAAGAAAGACAAGGATGGACACTACATATTTGTCAAGGGAAACACACAACATGAAGAGATTTCAATAATTAACATTTACTTTCCCTACCTGACTACACCTTGATTTATTAAAAACAAAAAACAAAAAACCAGAAAACCCTAACTGATCCGAACAATACATCTTTCTGAACTATAATAGTTGGAGATTTTAACACCCCTTTGGCATTTCTGGATGGATCCTCCAAGAAGAAATTCACAAGGTAGAAAAGGCAATGCATGAACATATACGTGTTTGGTCAAGCCACTTGCTCTATGCCCCAAGCCCCAGCATCCCTTTGGCTGGAAGCCTGTCCAGCTGTCCAGGAGGAGGGAGATCCCTGCTTACCCTCCAGCTACTGCACACTGTTGGTATTCCTGATACAGCACTGGCTTCCACAGTCAATTTGCACTTATGTGCTCTCACACCCACCTCCCCCATGACTCTCAAAACATCAAGGCTGCTGCGCACATATAATCCCTTGGTTCAAGATATTACGGATCCTCAATAAATGTTTGCTGAAAGAATGAATGATCAGAGAGGAAACCCAGGTGTGAAAGTGACCAGCTCAGGATTAGATCCAAGCCACCCACCCTCCTGACCCACTTTCTACCTGCTGCTCACCTTGACAGAGAGGAATGGCCTCGCTCCACAGGTGGTAGCCCTGAGGGTGCCGGGTACAGATGGCCATGCTGTGTCCCACCAAGCGGTAGCCAGCATTGCAGCCAAAGTGGATGGAGCCCCCGGGCTGGGTGCTGGTCTGGCCCAGGATGAAGCCATGGAGGGGAGCCCTAGGCAGGCTGCAGTAGGGAGCTGAGTGAGGAGAAGAGTAGACTCAGTACCAGCGGGACCCCCTTTCCCCTTCTTGTCCCCCCCCATTTCCTTATCTTCACCCCTGCCAGGTCTGCTGCTGCTTAGAGAGGTCTGAGTGGTTGATATTGAAAACAGCCAGTTGGTTTAGAAAAGCCAAAACATAACAAAGGGAAATTAAAACAAAACAAAACAGTCCTAGGGAGCCCAGGGTCCCCCGTGCAACCTGGAGGCAGCACCAAGTGCATGGCCAAGTTCAGGCTCTCAAATCCCTTTAGCTCCCACACAGACTCAGAAAGCAGAATCCAACAGGGTTGGTTCCAGAGAGGTGTGATTGCAAGGGTATGGACGTTAGAGTGAGTCAGGCCTGGGCTCAAGTCTGGTTTCTGACCTTAACTGGGTCTGTGACTTGGGAAAAATCATAGAAGCTCCTTCAACTCCAGTTTCCTCACCTAGAAATTGGGACTAGCAATACCCACCTCACAGATTTTTTGACAATTTAAATGGTACATAAAGCCCCCCCCCACAGAACAGGGAACTTGGTGCTCAATAAATTGCAGTTCTTCTTTCTGCTGTGTAGGGATGGGCAGAGACAGACCTGTGGTGATGCGGGATGGGAGTTTCCCTATCGCGCTAACTGCCCTCCTCATATGGCTTCAACTTAGTTCATTCATTTATTTGACAAAGAGATACCGAGTGTCCGCAATGTGCTGTTCTAAGTGTTGTTTTATGTGTTGGGAATACAACAATGAAGAAAGCAGACAAAAATCCCAGCCTGAGAGAACTCCCATTAGGAGGCTGAGAAAACGGGATGACCAAAGTCATGAAGAGCAACCCCTCTGTTTGCCCCTGGAGTCCCGGGAAGGGTCTCTTAGGCAGCCACGGTTAAGGCAGGAATAGGGTGTGTGGCCCTTACTTACTCTCTCCTCATGGTGAGGGCCAATGGCCTCTTATCTGGTGACCACATCACACTGCTGGTGAAACTGCTGTGCTAAACTCCTCCCTCCCAAGCCAGTTGTGTTTCCTCACTCGAGATGTGTGGTGTTCCTTTGTCCCCTGTGTTGTATGATCCCGTGTCTTTGTGTCTACCTGACTCAGGAACGAGAACCTCAGTTATGAAGTACACTTAGTCACAGTGATAGACACAGGTGCAATTACCCGGGTCTGCTGTATCTTAATTATTAAGTACTAATTTCTGCACCATGTAATTAATTTACTGTCTTCATGACATGTGTATTGTAATTACCACTGATTCATTATCCCCAAACATGTTAACCTTTAGAACATCAAGGAAAGGGCAACTCCTGAACAGCTTTTAGCAGTTAATTTAGCAATCAGCATGGTGAAATGCTGCTAAACTGCTGTACTCCATCTTTCCCTTCTGCATGAGATGCCACCAGGAGCTCAGCCTCAGTCCCCCTGAGAGGTGCCTTAAGGTTTCATTTTGTTTCTTTTCTCTGCCTTTGTGTTTGTGTGTGTGTGTGTGTGAGAGAGAGAAGATCTTGTTCTGTTGCCCAAGCTTGAATGCAGTGGCCTCCATCCCCATAGTTCACAGCAACCTTGAACTCCTGGGCTGAGGTGATCCTCCTGCCTCAGACTCCCCAGTAGCTGAGACTATAGGTGCATGCCACTACATCT